AGATTGTAAGCCAATTTTTACCCCTCTTCCTATTAACTTCAAATTATCCTCTAGTATGAGTCCTAGCAGTGAACAAGAGATGATGGAGATGTCTTGAGTGTCGTATGCATCGGTAGTGGGAAGTTTAATATTCGCTATGATATGCACAAGACCAGACATTGCACAAGCAATGGAGTGGTTAGTTAGTACATGAAAAATCCAGGAAAAGAGCGTTGGAATACAGTGAATATGATCCTAAGATACATCAAAGGGACCTCAAATATTTCATTATGTTACGGAGGATCAAACTTACTAATCAATGGGTATGTCGATTCTGACTATGCAGGGGATTTGGATAAAAGCAAATCTACAACAGGATATGTTTTCAAAGTTCTTGGTGGAGCTGTAAGCCGAGTTTTAAAATTGCAATTAGTTGTGGCTACATCCACAACAGAGGCAGAATATGTAGCAGTTACACAAGCCAGTAAAGAAGCAATTTGGTTGAAGATGTTATTGGAGGAACTTGGGCACAATTAAGAGTATGTCTCTCTATTTTGTGACAGTCAAAGCGCCTTGCATCTAGCAAGGAATCCAACATTTCATTCAAGGACAAAGCACATACGAGTTCAATACCATTTCATTCGTGAAAAGGTGGAAGAAGAGACGGTAGATATGCAGAAGATCCATACTAAAGACAACATAGCAGATTTCATGACTAAGGTGATCAACGCTGATAAATTTACTTGGTGTCGATCCTCTTGTGGCTTGTCAGAATCGTAAGCAACATGATGATACAAGGTAAAAAGAATGGTGTGAAGATATGATTGTTCCAATCAAATCTTCAAGTGGGAGATTGTTGAAAAATCAATGCACCGAAAGTGCATGTGGAAAAAAGGGAATGAAATTTGTCAAATTTAGGGGGAACCGAAAAGTAGCTGGAATGTTGATTTTTTGACAATGGTAAAATCTCAATTTTAGTCATTGTACTTTAGGGTATTTACAAGATTAGTCCTTAAGCTTTAACTATAAATACCCTAACTCATTTAGCTTCAAAATCTTCCCAAATCATTCTAGCTTTCTCCCAATACTAGAGAATTTAGAGAGTTTATTGAGAGTTGTTTTCTCCTTTTATCAAGAGAGAATTATCATTGTTTTCTCCTTAGTAGATCGAGAGAAGTTGTAATTTATATTTTTCTCATAGTGAAATTCTTCTACCGTTGCCCGTGATTTTTACCCTATATTATTTAGGGGTTTTCCACGTAAATTTTATGTCTTTTTTATCTTCATTTTATTTTCTCAAATTATCAGTTACGGTTTTGCTTTATCCGATAGACGTTTTCTACAACAAACTATTGATGCAAGTTATCACTATGAAAATAGTTTAAAGGGAGGGAATGTAGGAAACAGTAGTCAAATACATTACGAACCTTTTGAGGATATGAAAAGAAGGCCGCTCTTGAAAACCTGTGAAACTGTCACATATCAAAAGCCAAAAACGAGCACCAAATGCCTAGGATAAAACTAATCATACCCTTGCAAAAAAGAACTTTTAATCAATTCAAGGGAGCAAATATGGCTTCACCACCAAAACCCAAAATTTTATTGTTGTACTACCGGTTGATGTCATGCAAACCGATCAATTAGAGACTAAAGCAACGCTTGTTTGCAATCACTAGCCACTGATTGAATTGTTTATACGATGATTATTGCTACCGTACTATGTTGTTTTTCCTTGAGAATTATGAACTACCTTGAAGTTGTGATAACACATGGATTACCAGCTGATATTAACATGTGACAGTGGAAAGCAAAACAATTCAACGCCATACCAAGCAGCCGGAAAATATGTTAGATTGTGGACCATAAGTTGAGGTATTCACATCCATCGAGAACTAAAATCTCTACGACAAGGTTGAATGAAGTGTAAAATTCATAGATTTCAAAAGAAAATGTTGGAAGAGTTTCTGATCCTTCACATTTTTCTATTCCTTATTTTATGTATCCATCCGTCTTGATTTCATTTTATTTTACACATTGCTTTTTAACTGACCAAATTATATACTCGATATCACGAGAACTTTCTCTTTCTAACATAATTAGAAGCTGATTTTGCAGAATTCCTCCGAATCCAATTAAGGAGATGGGAATGGGCTCATGCATGCTGATATAGTTTTTCGTAAGGATAAGAAATTATTAACCTGAAGAAAAAGTTATATATTGAAACAAGAAGAGCACAAACTTTACTTAAAAAATTATTTTAGCTATTTGCATATAGAAAATTCAAAATTAAAATGCATAGTAAAATTTTCAATACTTCCAATGACTACCCGTATGAACAGAACAACATTATTGATCTATTATATTTCAGGTTTTCGAAAATTTTGCTACATTGATTTCTTAGACGGTTTCTCTCTCTCAAATTGAATGATAATAATAATATTACACAAACCAAGTTGGCCTTAAAAATCTCAAAATAATTTAACTTCTACCAAAAATGGTAATGTAAGGTCTTATCAAACGTTCAATATCCGTATCATCTTACAATCAATCCAAGAAATGCCCAAAACAGAAGATCCCTAAAACTTTCTTTTTATTCACGTTCCATTTTCTCAGAAACCAAACAGAAAATAAATTAAAAATAAAAGAAAAGGGATTAAAAAAAAATTTTGCCGTGTTGGAGGCTCCGTTTCTAGGCCGCTCAAATGCCGCTAACGAAGCCGACGTTTCCGCAGATTAACATTGAAATATGCAATCAAGGGGGGCAAAAACAGCTGCCTCAGCATTTCAACTTCTCAGCGAATCACTCGTTGTTCGACATTGAGTCAACGCAACCGATCGACAAGTTAACTCCAATCGAGGCAAGATCTAAAAACTTGGAGCAAATAATAATCAAACCTTTAAGCTTAGGGTTTTTCCTTCGTCTATCAAAGATAAATGGAGACAGTAAAGAACAATGAATCACCAACCAGAAGAACTACCACGCTCCATAAATATAAAATTATTATTCCCCTAAATAATACCTTACCTCTCATCTCTTTTAATTTTTTAAAATAATAAAATAATAATTTATATACGATACAACATAATATAATGTTATTTATTTTGGATTAGATGAAAGCAACAGTGCTTGTCGTAGTAATTTGGAAAATCTGATAGAGAGCGAGAGAGGGAGGGTTTGCTTTTCACATACATCACTGGTTTTGGAGAGAGAAAATAGTGGAGAAATATCTACGTTTATCTACACTCGGCTTTACACCAAACCCAAGTATTCTGTCGTAGTGTAATTCCGATATATAATAGATATTTAGTATTATTTAAATATATCGACTATAAAGTATGGTCAGTTCAATTAGATGTTAATTTAAAATAAAAATTAAAATATTGTTTTTAAATTAATTAATATTATTATTATATTCTTTTTTCATACAATTTTATAATAAAATAACTAAAACTTATACAACTAAATAGCAAATGTAAATTTGATGAGACTTTTATAACCACTTTATTAGAATAAAGTACACAAATTGTCATCCAATTGTAGAGTTGTTTTATTGAATATATTAATTAAAAGTTATAAAATGATTCATCGATTATAGGGTATTATTTTGTTGAATTTCTCAACTATTAAAAATTAAAAAAATAGTCACTCAACTATTTATATATTCTAAACTCGTATTTTTTCGTTAAACTTTGTACAGTCATCTGAGCAAGGCATAAACCTATTAATTGAGGTGTGATAAATATGATCACATAATTGTTTGATTTATATTTTGTGAATCAATTATGTTTATATTATGGCATTAAACTAGTGTTTGAAATATTATGTCGTTTAGCTCGTGCTTAACAACAACAACAATATCAATAAATATCATTAAAAATATGATTTTGTCATATTTTAGTCAGCATGTTAACTTTCAGCTCAAACGAACATTAATTTTTTAACAGAAAATGACGCGTCTGGAATATATGAATAGTTGGATGATCATTTTCAAACTTTTCTTTGTTGGGGACTCAACAAAACATCGTCTTATAGTTGGGAGACTATTTTATAACTTTTAAAATTAATAAACTCAACAAAACAATGTCTTATATCGGAAGATCATTTGTATATTTACCTTCTTATTATTATATCAACATTTTTAATAAATTATTTGTATATGAAATATTCATGTCACTTGTATTGTAAATATGTTATTATTTGTGATTATAATATAGTAACGTTTAACATCTAAAATTTATAAAAACATAGAAAGTATTTTTAAAATATAATTAACAAGTTAAATAATTTAATTTGATTGTTCATATTTTATTTTAATAGTAAGAAATCAAAAACAAAATATATAAAAAACAAATGATTAAAACAAAAACAAAATTATATAGCAATAGACACGAAATACTATTAATTGATATTGATGGAGACAAGTCAATAAGATTAATATAACCATAAACTGAAGTGATATGGTAGTTAGGAATGGGTAAAATATGATAAGTTTATTTTAAATTTGATTTTGATGAGATTAATTTTTTATTTAAGTTTAAAGAGATAAAACATGTTTAATGTTTTTTTTTAAAAAAAATCAGAGTTAGAAGGGATCTACTTCTTACAAAAAATATCATTATATACAATTTAAGTTTTTTGGATAAATTATATAAAATTTAATTTAAATTTATCTTTTTTCATTTTTTATCATATCTTATTCTGTACTTTTTTTCTATTTTTTGTTTTGTTTATTTTATGGATAATTTATGATCAAATATCAAATTAGATTTTATTTTTAATTAATTTAATTTAAAGTAAATACGAGATAATACCTATTCAAATTAAACTTTAAAATTAAGTTAAAGTAATTAATTAGAATAACAAAATATTTATATTTTAAATTACATATTAAAACGAAGTTCAGATACTAAAGTATATATTAAGTTAAAGTAATTAATTAGAATAACAAATTAGATTTTTTTTCCTAGTTTTACTTGGATAATAAAAGACGAGTTCTCGAAATTTTGAACTTCAATCGAAATTTTTGCCGGTTTATTTTTTTGGCTCTAACTCTCCCTCTCTCTCGTTCTGTTTCTCTCTAGGGTTTTGCACTCCAACGTTTAACAAAACATGAAGAGGAAGCTCGATACTCGTTTCCCAGCTGTAAGTTTTTTTTTTCTTTACTGTTTTCTCTTCAGAAAATTTTTTAATAGCATGCTTCCTGTAACAAGTTCAAAGGGGTTTTCTGTTATTCTTCTTGCCCTTATTTTCTATCAATTATTACACTTATTTTACAAGCCATTTCTCGGAGCATTATATTATTTTTACAGGTTTCTTATGAGATTCGTTCATCTAATTTCAGTTTATGTTTATTTATTTTTCATAGGCTCGTATAAAGAAGATTATGCAGGCTGATGAAGATGTTGGAAAAATTGCCATGGCTGTTCCTCTGCTTGTTTGTAAGTACTTTTGAATTTTTTTTCCTCGTAAATTTATTCATTGTGTAAATATACATATGTTGGCGAATTTTTTTATGTTTTGTTCATAATAGGAACTTCCCCTTGGTTTGAACTTGAATTTTCAGTTTCGACTCTTAGGTCTGTTTTGGGTGAAGTCTTTCGTGGAATTTCTTATAATTTTGATTAATTAATGTTTGCAGCTAAAGCATTGGAATTATTTCTACAAGATTTATGTGATCGAACATATGAAATTACTTTGATGAAGGGTGCTAAGACTATGAATTCTTCGCATCTGTAAGCAAAATTTTGTCCTTGATCCTTTTTTGTTGAGTGAAGGTCTTTTACTTGACATTAGGTTAACTGCTGGTTTTTATATTGCAGGAAGCAGTGTGTACAGGGTTTTAATGTTTTTGATTTTCTCAGAGAAATCGTTGGTAAGGTGCCGGACCTAGGTGGTTTGGATGCTGCTGGCGAGGAGTGTCATGTTCCGAAAAAAAGGTTTGGAAGGTTCTATACTTATAGCTGAATGTACAAAGCAAGCCGGTCATCCATAATGTTGTTAAAACATCTGTATTTTTATTCCAGGAAAGTAGATGATGATGATGAGTCAAAGAAGAGCATAATGGTATGTCAATTCATTCTTTGATACTTGGCATGGATATGTCCCTTTATACTCTCCAACGTGAAAACAGTTTGGGTTTAATTGTAAAAAAATGTTGTTATAATAAGAATGCACTTGCAAGCTAGAAAATCTATTTTGCTGCTTTTGGTGACCATTCATGATACGAGTTGCATTTACAACCTGAAAATTGTGTTCACCACAACTTTTTCTTTTTCTTCTTTGTAGCATGAGACTTTCCATGTTACTAGCTGTGGCAGAGGACGGGGTAGGGGCAGAGGAAGAGGAAGAGGGAATCGAACAGCAGGGAGAGAGACTGCTGCACATCGTGGAAAGTTTGAAGACGATCCAGACATTTCTTGTTTTGAAGAAGAGCATACTTTAAGCTTGACAGGCAGAGGCCTGCTGATGTGGTGGGGTCTGATGAGTTGAAGAAACACAATCCAGCAAGCAAGAACATTGAAGCTCCGGTTCTAAACATTGACCTCAATGCAGACTTAGACGAGAATGGAGACTCTATCATATCTGTTGCTTCTGCTAGTCCGAGAGCAGATAGCAGACCTGAAAATAAAGACGAATACCCTGGTTGGTCACTTTCTGAAATCGAGAAGATGGCCATCAATCCTGTTCTAATTGCTAATTCGAACAGGGAAATAGATGATGAAGACTACGATGAAGAAGGATAAGCGACTGAATTTCTCCTTAAACGTTTTGTATTATCTGGTACATGTGCAGTTCTACATTAGATGTTAAAGGAAAAAAGTGGTAGGAAGCTTAGAAAGAGAAGGAAACATTGAAAGGTACATTCTAGATTAGTCTGATACTTTATCATTTATTTTTCATGTCTCTAGGAATTTGTGAAATAGTTTTAACACCATATGAAACTGACGGTAGTTTCCAATTCTTTGAGTTCTCCGATGTCCAAGGATATTGGCGATATCATTTGATGTGTTAAATTAGTCTTATTTAAGTTGGAAAAGTAGGTTTCAAGCTATAAAATGGATCTTTTGTTGATGCAATTGAGGTTTCTATAAATAGCATTCAAGAATCAGGAACAAGCCGCTCCTTCTGTTAGTTTCTCTTTCAAGCTAAAATAAGGCAGCCCTTTAGACCATCTTTAGTATCGTTAGAGTAGAGAAAATCTCTACTTTAGAGATGAATTTCAACTCCAGCTTATCTCCACTTTCAACGCTAGAGTAGAGAAAAGTTGCAGTGATACTCTACATCTGGAGTTGCACTGTAGTTGTGCTACATATTATTTTTTTGTTATTTTTTTTACTTTCTTTTGTTATTTTATTTTTCTTTTTCTTGTTACATTATTTTCTCTTATTCTATCTTTTATGTTTTTTATTGTAATTTCTATATAATAAAATAAAAATTAAACATAATATAATAAATTCAAGTAGATTAAATTACAAGATAGATAAAAATATATTGAAATTAGATAATTAAACATTCTAGTAGTTAAATATTGTGAATAAAGTAGAGTTTGTGGTAATGTAGAAATAGTGTTGGATATGAATTATTGTTTCATCTTTAGAGTAGAGATAGAGATGATGTAGAGTAGAGATAAGGATTGGAGATGGCCTTAGGGTTTTATGTTGTAATAAGATGTCTATTGTTTCGTTGGTTCCTTCCCCTCCATATCACCGAAATGGTGGTCGATTTGGTCAATTACTTCAATTTGATGAAAATATAGATTTTTTCCTAAAATTCATTTCCTTTTAATGGAAAATTAATTTTTATGCACAAATATTTTATTTCTGAACTTAAAAGAGAATGAATCTTTAATTCGAGCTCAAATTTTAATTATAATTATTCAATTTGATAAATTCTCAGTTTATAATCGCAAAAAGGAATTGAAAAGTGGACAAAATTCAAAACCAATGTGTTAATGGCCATTGACTTGATGAAAACGTTGGGATTTTGAGTTTAGTCACGTGTTATAATGATTTGATTTTAATTGTAGTGATTACTTTTTTAATTATTATACTTTCATAAAATATAAAACATTTAAATAAGTTGAGCAAAATCAGTTTGATTCATATAATGTCTAATCATCAACTAATGATTTTAAGCTTTCATTTCATTTTTTAAATAGCTTTCATTTAATTTTAATTGTAAAAAATATAAACATTTTAATATAAAATTATTCTTTAAGGTTAATATTTGATTAATAGTAAATAATTTGAGTTCACATTAAAATAAATTTAGATAAGAAAAAAAAAGCGACGGTTCCCTGCACTTAAAATGTTTATATTTTTTACAAATAAAATTAAAAATGATTAATTTCTTAAAAATGAATTTTAAAAATATAGAGGCAAGTAATTGGTTTGGCACTTGAGAAATGAATAGAGGGATTTGTATTATGGTAATGTGGATGTTAACTATCATTATATGCGAATGAGGTTAATAAAGTTGAGTCCGGATTTCAGGGTTGAGTCACTCTCATGCCAAGTCAAATTTTGCAACTCTTTCCTGGACTTAGCGATATACCACCAAAAATGTGCAAAGATGTAACCTAGTATATATATTTACATTTTACACCCATATCTTATAATAATAATAATAATAAAAAGGCCCACAAGAGTTATGGTGCCCTGCACAGGCTGATTTCCATGGCAGCCACATGTCTAGAAAAATATTACCACTAAAACCACTCACTTTTTTGAAAAACTTAAAAAAATTATCCATTTGTATTATTAATAAATTCCAAAGTTATTTGGGTGATTGAGGGAACGTGTCACTTTATTGCTAGCTGATAATTCTAATTAGTACATATCATCGTCTCTTTTTCTTGTCTAATCACCCGAGTAGTGTGTACCTTGACTCACCTGCTAAATTATAATAGACACACACTTATCCTATAACAAACTAATATCAACACTTCAGCCCATGCAGATCAAAATCACTAATTTCAGACATGAAACCTAAGAACTCATCCATATGATCACCATCAACAAACACAATACATACATGGAACTATGGAAGAGTTTTGGGAGTCCGTGCGGATGCAAGTGGACTTTAGTGTGAATATATGCCCTTTCTAAAATTCGAATTTTTTTTATATTAATTGTTTATTTTATTGATGATGTCTATCTGAAATTCTATTTGTACTTATCTCGTTATAAAAATTCATAATATTAATATATATATACCTACTTTCAAAAGTATTTATGGATCGTTACTGATGGGAGTGTTTATTATAATCCTGCATGACTCCCCTCATGCCATGTAAGAAGGCATCCAACTGTATTTGACGAGCTTCTTAGATGGCATGAGGGGAGCCAGGCAGGCCAAACAATCCCGTAAAATACAATCTTGTTACTTAAATCAAAGCTAACAAGACATACTTACAGTACTGCAAGGAAAAGGAAGTTTACAGACAGCTTTCTGATGTTGTTCGTCTCTTGTATTTCCTTGGAAGCTGAGAGTAAAGGAAGGAAGGAGAATTTAAAGAAGGAAAGGAAGCAAAGGCAACAAACACCCAGTTTCCTTTTATTTGGTATTGGTCATTACAAAGACCCTATTCGACTATTTGTAACAAACAATTAACTCCATGCATAAAAGCCACAAGGCACTAGGGTTTTACATGCAGTATATATATTTACTAATGAATGGACTATACACATATTTTACAACATAACTGTTTAAATTATAGATTTAAAAAAAATATTCTTTTTTATCATTGAGGTTACTTGATAGATTCTATTCAGACACTATATTTTATCATATATCATCCAGCATATTAACATCCAACTCAAACAATTGTTAATTTTTTAAAGAAAAAATATGAGTTTGAAACATATGAATAGTCAGATAACCATTTTGTAACTTTTAATAATTTAGAGACTCGATAGAGTAATAGTATATAGTCGAGAGACTATTTTTGTGTTTTACCCTAAAAATAACAACAGCATGATTATTTATTAATGAATTAATAACACTTTTTTCTAATTATCATACTTCGAATTTTAACCATGTGGAATAATAGGAAGTTAATTATTAACTAGATAAGCAAATATATTCTATAATCTAGTAGTAGTAGAGTAGGGGGTATGGATTAGATAGACAGAAAGGTAGGGGTGAGCAACGAAACCGAGAAAACCGAAAAATCGACACGAACCGAGTAAAACGGTTCGGTTCGGTTCGGTTTGGCTTTAAACGGTTCGGTTTTCGGTTCGGTTTAAAGGTTTCATTTTTTTGATTCGGTTCGGTTCGGGTTTTCCATATGGAACTCATTTGTTCCATATTGAACCGAATAGGCAATTTTTATAAAAAAATTATAGTTTCAAGTGATTTTTTCATCGAAAAACCGAACCGAACCGAAAAACCCGAACCGTTAAAAAACCCGAACCGAACAGAAAAAACCGGTTTCGATTTTTTCGGTTTTTTAACTATTCGGTTTCGGTTTAAATATTGAAAAACCGTTTATTTCGATTCGATTCGGTTTTTGATAAAAAACCAAACCGAACCGAATACACCCCTACAGAAAGGTGAGCAGGAGTTTTCGATTTCCGGAGAGACAGCCAAAATGAATAGATAAGACGAAGCAAAGGCAAAGTGTTGTTGCATTCTTCTTTAATGAATGAATACAACTCTTCAGTTACTGTATTTATTTCTCTACCAATATGCATATTTCATTTTAAATATCTAGCTACTTTCTTTAATTATTTACTTTGATTTTAAAAATAATTTCAAAATTGCCATATATATTTAATATAAAAAAATTAGTTCTATCAAATTTTGATTGATATATCGTTTACAATCAATCAATAAGATGATATGTAACCTTAAAAACGAACTTTTAACCTTTGCTTCGTTGATTTATACACTTGTTTTAACCTACTTGGTGTTCGAATGTTTTATTAATTTCATTACGCACAAACTTTAAAATTATCAGATACATCAAATTCATGTCCAAGTTAAGTTTGAATATTATTAAATTAGATTAAAATAAATAAATTTGAACTCAATTCTACTTGAAAACTCGCGAACTTAAAATTGTTAAATTCATTTCAATCTCAAAAATAAAAAATTGAATTTGAAATTTCTTAGACTTTGTTTGATTGAAACTCGAACTTAAGGTCAAATTTAAATCTTAAATATATGATAACCTTACATTCTATTTTTTTAAAAAAAAAACATATAAATGTTAATATTATTAATAATTTAATATAAAAATTAGAAATTTAGTATATTATTTTTTTTGAGTTGTTCATAAGCTTTTCGAATTGGCTATTAAATAACTTGTTTCAGTTCGTTAAAAACTTGAGTAAAGTCTATTCTATTTAAATATCGACCAAACTTTAACCGAATCGAACTCAAATAACTCGTAATCTATCTCGTCTTATTTACAAGCCTACATATGACTGAGAAAACAACACGCAAAAAACATTTAGAAAAAATTGTTTTTGGTCTGCACCTGTCCAAATTGAAAAACAGTGGAGCAACCATGAGATGTGAGTGCTGATGTCCTATGTAAAAGGTAAAAAGGACAACTATAAACATATGTAGATCGACATCCATCATTTCTCCAAATGGGAGTCTGAATGTGTACAAAAGGCACACAAAAAACAATGCCTTGGTGTAGATTTCCACAAGAGATTAATGGAAATGAGGGGTGGAAATTAAAATGGTGGAAAATCCAACGCAAAATCAAACCGTGCCATTACAAACTTTATGATACAATGATAAAACTCAATATGATTAAAATCTGCAAAAACATAATTCTTAAGAGATCCTATTTGGTTCCTGTAGAAGATCCACCATCTGGTCCGGCAAGCATTATCTTCCATTTTCAGAAACAAAGATAATTAATTCAAACAGTGAAAGAAAAGAGCAGACATCATAGGTTCATGCTTCATATGATAATAATAGAACTGGTTCACAACTTACATTGCAGTCGAAAGCGAATCTCCTGGCGAGCATGATGGCTGCATTTCTCTCTCTCTCTGATTCGAATGCTAATACAACCGAAAACCCTTTCTTTGCTTGCCAAAACAATGCCTGGGCAGCCGCGTTTCCACCCCCTCTAACTCCGCACAGCTAAAGCAAAAGCACAAAGTGTAAAAAGAATATCGAACCACAGTACCCATATAGGATATGAATGTCAGCAAATTTAATTTAATGTTTAGTGCGGTTCTTAGAAGTATGGTGAGATCATTATCCAGATATTTGCATGCAATGCTGTTTCTATGCAATATACACTTTTCTTCCCAACAATAACTCTTATTATACCTAAAGCATATTTCATCAATGAGAAATTTACAAAGACTTAATGTACCTGCATTGAGCTGGAATAATATTCTTTGGCGATTGTAGTCTTTCCTTTACATAGCTTCATCCTCATCTTACCAACATGTAGTACATGAATAGATTCAGATGGATGATCCGCACCATTCATTTGGGTAACAACTACCTATAAAATAATAACAGGGTAATGATATAATATTAGAAGCTCAAAGAAAAAGAAATTATGGGTTAAATTCTTAACGGGAATATGTCATCCATTCATTTACTGAAGAAATCAACAAATGCATATCAAACAAACAAGAACTAGAAGCAAAACCAACATAGTAGATTGTTTTTTCTCCTAATTGAAGTACCAAACCCAAATAAAGGGGGGAACTTTTTAAGTAGGATAATGTACATTGAATTCAACATCATGTTTCCTCACAAGTGCCTCCACATAGTTTCCCAAACCAGCAGCTGCTCTCACAAACAAAGGAACAAAAGTTTTTAAGTTTCAAAAAATAAACAGACATGAAATTTAAAAGTAGACACCAAAGAAAAAACAAGCATAGAAAACCTGGATCAATGGGACCGGTAGTTGTCAATACGAGTAGATGGCCATCATAAGTAATCTCAACCTGCAGGCTTCGACCAACATCAAAAGGCTCTGGAGCATACACTGATTTGCTAGCACCTGGATTAAACAAGGTGGATTAACAAATCAGATCCAAAAAAGAACAAGACCGCTATCATAAACATAAAAATTAAAGATCGCTATCGTTACCCAATATAACCTCCTTTTGCCACCTTCAGATGAAATACGATACCACTGAATTGAGCAGTGGGAAAGTTCGGGAGCAATATCAGAGCAAGGCTTAATTCGCAAATATGAACCTAAAGTTTCAGCACCATCTAATTCATATATATGAGATAAATTTGCCTCAACTCTCTTGCTTCTTGCTAGCTGCCAAAAGAGTAAAGCAAAGCAGATGATTTAAGAAGTTGAAGATTAAACGAGAGAATAGAAATATAGAATATCTGCACCAGTCTATCCCACACAAATGCCTACGAGAAATTATAGAAGGGTTGAATTGACAATCCTTTGGAAATAAAAATCTGTATTGAAATTACCAGTCTATCCCACACAAATGCCTACAAGAAATTACCACATAGCGCATGCAAACTAGAAAAAGAACATGAGATTAAGTATTCCCCTATTTAAGCTTATCTGTATTGAAACGGAATAAAAATCTTGTGAACTTAGCAGCTAATGTATAATTCATTTGAAAAAATAAACTAGGGACGATTTTAATTTGGATAGAAAGAATCCACATCATCATATGTATGGCAGATTGTTTATATATATATATATCATGAAACATGAAATTGTAGCCTTTCTTTGATGTTAAACTAATTTACAATCTCATTTAAGCTGTAGATCTGAATTTAATCTTACCTTACATTTCTTATGAAGACAGGAATGACATTTAAATTGGTTCAAACATTCGACATGCATCAGAACCCCAAACATACGAGGCCCTCTATATGCTAAAACGTGAGAATTACAGATCAATGTATTATCCCATAGAGGCATAGACTTTACTAACCTTTCAGTTTCGACCAACGTTCCTACAACAAACCACATAACAATATGCTAAAAGGAATGAAGAGTGAAAAGAAATGAATGACTATTTGTGGCTCAATTTATGTACCATAAAAAGTCTTAAGAAGAAACAAGAACAGACTAAAAATGTATGAATACCCATTCAGCTATAGCAACTATAATGGCTGAGAAACTGATTATCAGAATCTACATACAAAAAGGTAAAAAGGCAAACCTCTTTTTGAAGAAGTAATGAATGCTTAGACTTCTCCGCAAGTTGAATCCTTAATGCACGAAGCTCATGCTCCATATCCATAACCTGCAAATTGCTATTAGTTTAACTCATCCACCATTTCAACTAAAATGAATTTAAACAAGATATTGCGTCAGTGTTGATAATTTGATATGTCATGCTGCAAAACATTCATATAAGAGGATGCCTCTACAAATATTAATACAATATTAGCATTTTGTGCATGCATTAAGCAAGCCCATCAGTAGCTTCATTCATTTGTCGCCAAAGACAAGCCGTCATTATATGAGAGTTCTAGGCAACAGAGCACACAATGAACTCAAGAATGCAACATTTCAACAAAATTTCTAATCAATATAGAGCCGTTAGTCAGGGTCCAACATTCATGTCCAAGTCAAATTGCATCATTTAAAGGTATACATCGCACTGCATTTCCATTGTTTCCTCACCCTATCCGTAGCTTTATTCATTTGTGCATTTTCCTCCTTTTTTTTTTTGTAATCTTTATTTGGGAAAGGCGCAGAGTTCAGCCATGGAAATAGTAATACTTTTGCCATTTGATAATCAGATCTTTAAAAACTATACTTGCTTAATATTTTCTTCAGAAGTATGATGAAAGTACTGCAATAACAATGTTCTTCATCTTTACTTCCCATATGATTACGAGTTTTAAGGACTAAAACGTTTTGAATTTCTAAAGCAGCCACATACAACTTGAATTATGTACAAAAAAATAAACCGATTATTTCATGGGAAAAAATGATATAACACTATAGCAACATGCTATAAATCATTGAGTGGCAAACAACTTAAAACAATGTCTTTGAATACTTGTGATGTAAAGAAAGAAAGGGGAAAAAAGAAACAGTTACAGATCTGAGATAAACCTTGCTTGGTTGGTGCAGCATTTTGATCCGTCTAGCCTCTTGCACCTCCTTCATTAATTCTTCCAGGTCCTGAAATCCATGCAAAAGATCCATTCTAAGAAAAGTATAAAATAAAATATATATATATGAGAGAGAGAGAGAGAGAGAAACAATTACCATATTAAAAGAACAAAAAGTAGAAACTGGTATAATGTACGTGAGAGGCTCACAAGAAAAAGTGTTAGATTTGTACTAACTGATAGTAAAATTGAGAAACGTCTAAGTAATAGATATTTTTTACAGTTAACGCAATGTGGAAAGAGAGCAGTATCAGCAAAAATCAATATGCATTTACCAGGTAGATCTTTAACAATGGAAATTCAATCATTGAACTTTAAATATTAATAAACAGAGTATTCATAAAACAAAATAACAAAAACCTGTTTGCCTGAAGCTCGAGACATTTGTTCTTGCTCCTGAAGGGCCTCTTCCACCCTCTGAACTGCTGCTCTTGCGCTCTCAATTTCAGCTCGAGCATGTGCTCTTTCCTCATCAACAAGTTTCTTAGCATCTTCAGAAGCCTATATGGAGACAAATATACAAAAGTAGAGCAGTAAAGGAAAATTAGTGCATTCAAAGTTGAAAAAAAATTAAGAAAATATCTTATGAACCCTGGACCAGCAGAGTTCGAAGCAGCCTTTCACTCTCAAAACAGATTTCCAGAAAACAAGAAAAGCTAGGTTTGCCTATTTGTCATCTAACAGTAGATGTAATTAACTTGAACTGGAAAAAAGAAGAATCCGCGTGAAAACAGATAAAAATGAAATAAAATACATCACCACAGCCAAAAATATAGGCACTTTAATAAAAGGCATTTTTCCACTAAACTACGATAACTGACTAAAAGGGGCCATAACTATTCACTATTCAGCTAGAATTATTTATAGAGGTACATGAACATGAAACTCGGGAAAAGACTGATACAAGTCATTGTTTGGTCATGGTAATACATTTAGAAGAACAGAGTAATATATAAGCCATTAATTATCACTCATAATCTCATACCAAGAAAGAAAACACTTAGGAAGCACTGCATGTATATGATAACAAAAATGATGCATTTAAGTTCATCCCCATTTCCAGATATTTTTCGTAAATATGCATCGTAAAAAATAATAATAACTTATTACGAAATCCAAAAAAAGGGATGGCACATCATCAGGGATTTATCATAAGCTATATTATATTACCAGCTTGAGGAAATTTGCGAGTTTCTTCACTTCTGTCTTCTCTTGAAGCAACTCCCCTTCTCTTTGAGTCAGTTGAACTGCCAGAGCTTCCACCTGGGGAAGCAGACACAACTAAAGGTCATTATCGCCTCACTTGAAGTTAGTAGGCAATATACATTAAACAAGAATACAACTTGATACTTTTAGATGAACCATATAAAGGGGAAAAGACACAACACAACCAAGGATTAAAAGAGGACATATCTTATCTTCCCTTTTTTTGTCTCATCATAAAATCTTGAACCATACAATGCCAATATTGAAGCAACAAACCTAAAACTCATGACCTTAAAGCTACACGCCTACACAGTATTTTTCTCCTCAACTTTCACCCTAAACACTATTTCCTCTGAGTCAAGACTAATAGCAAAGTTTTATCACAGAAAAACATAGCAATGCAACTTAAATACTGGCAATTAACTTTCAAATGTATGGTAATTGATAAATACATCTGGCATATCTCCAATATATTCAATGGTAGAAATGAAGTCTAGAACACTAACCATGGTAATAGCTTCCTCTACATCATCCTTGTTTCTTCCAGCTACACGTCCTTTCAAAGAGTCCAGGGCATCTCTAAGCTTCTTCAAAAGGACATGTTTCTCCAATGAAGCTGCCTCTCTGAGTCTTGCCTGAATCCATTGAATGACTAGCTTATAAATTTGTGCAAATGACAATAACCATAGTGGTTAGGATACTAATAAAAGTCCCAATGCTTCTCAACTTCTAATGAAATCAACTGGCAATGACAGAAGAATCACTCAAACGAATAGACTACTCAGGGAGCATACCAATTTCTTCAATCCAGTGACATTTCTACGTGAATAAAAATGATGAAGAACCCTTAAAACAAAATTTATTATTGTACTGATCTTAATGCCAGCCAAAAAAAAACAGAGATAACCTTTTGTTTATAAATTAAAAGACAAACCAACAACCTATCTTCAATTCCTATAATTTTTTCATAATGCTAAAATAAGTCTAATTAATGTTATACAATTTTTTTTTAAAAAATTATCAGTCTATCTAAAATAATCCTGCAGTGCATATATAAATTAACTTAGAATGAAGTTAACCTCATCAGACAACTTAGCGGCAGCAGCTAACCCCTTTTCGAATTTACTAGCAAGGTCACGAACAGAGTGGCGTTTCTGCTGCTCCAATAACAAGGCGGTCTCACGTGCAATGACCTCCTTCATGGTCAAAACTTTTGGGTCTTCTTTGGCATCCAAAATCAGATTATTTGCCCCAATTTTGTAATTGGGAAAACGACTCGAACCAAATATCACATCAGCTGACACAGCTGAAACTGCTTCCTTCTGCATAGTATTGCTGAACTCATGACTTACCCTCGTCATTGTTCCAAAATTAAACTCTGTTAAATCACCCCAAAAAAAGTTTTAATTTTTGGGTTCTGTTGTAGGATTTAAAACTACTGGAAAAGAGTTGAGAATGTAAACATCGTTATCGAAAACAGCTTAAACCAGAATGAGGGTCAGTGTCAACCAACTTAATTACTTCGATTACGTTGTTTAATAGTCTAATTAGTTATCAAACATTAAACAGCAACCAAAATTAATCAGATAATTTGAAGTTTAGCAGAAATGGAACAAAATAATTGTTCAATCATGCCAAAACACTAACCAGAGAGAGAGAGTAATTTATAAAACAAAAAAACAAACAAACAAACAAAAACTCTAAACTCATAACCAAAACAATAACCACTTTAAAACAAGTGCAAAGAAGAGAGAAAATTAAAAGAGAGAGAGTATACGGTTATCTGAATTCTGAATCCATAATTGAAGACAAGTTTTTTTTTTCTAAAAAAAAGGGGGGGGGACGAATTGGAACTTACGGATGAAGAAAAATGTAGAAATTTAGTAGCGGAATTAGATTGCTGGATCAGCTGAGATGAAATGGAAGAGAAGTTTGAGGATTATGTTAGAAAACTCAACAATATGAATAGTTGACTAAGAAAAGAGAGAAACCGAATATGCAATGAAGTTTTCGTTTTTAAATTTTTGGGTGGTTGTTCTACTTTTTTGTAAAGGGGAGTGAGAATAAAAAAGTGAAAATGCCGACCGCCTTTTACCCTTTGAATTTTACCGCTTTGCTTGGTTTTTTGATTTCGTCAAGGCAAACAAATATGGTAAGAAATACGACAGTATCTAATGTCTGGCTGTTCACTGACTTTTTAACTTTACAGCTGCTTCGATTAGTTTTATAAACCACAGGAAGTTGTAAGGTAAGAAAGAGAAAATGAGTGACAGGGAAATAGTTAGGAAGAGAAAATGAAAGAAAATGCGTGAAAGGGAAATGGACAGTGAAAGAAATGAGCAGATGAACCGAAATTTTATTCAATTTTACTCTCTTTCTTTCTTTCCATTTTATTTCCTTCCTTCCCATTCTCAACTATTTCCTCTCTTTATTTTCCTTATTTCTTTATGTTTTTCTCCCTAATTATTACATAAAATATTTATTCTAAACACAATACAATTATAAAATAAATGAATGTTTCTATACTTTTATAGCATGGACATTAACATAAATAGTAATATTCGACGTCATGAGTTTTTTTAAATATATTAAAAATAATATGATATGATAAATATGATTATAATAAGAGATTCATAATTAGTCGATTAATCAAATATATTTATATTAATTTCTCTTTACTTAATAAAAAATATAATCATAATAATATTATAAAAAAAAGTGTAAAATATGTTTTCATTATAAACAAAAACGCATTAAAAAAATAAATCTTAACCCTGATAAACAATGATTCAGTTTCTTAATAAACTAAATTTAAGTTTAAAATTTACTCATTATAATGAATTATACGAACTATGTATAAAATAAGGAATGGCATGAAAACAATATTCAGTTATGCAGACGTGTCAAATTTTACCTATAATAAATTTGCAATGTTTGAAATTCTATAACCAAATTTAATATAAAAAAATCCTCTAATAAAACGAGCACAAATAATTTTTTTATCTTGAATTAAATTCAAAATTTTAAAAACAATGATAAATTATTAAATTTAAATCAAAGTTGAAAACATAAAACTTTTAACTAAATTCAACGTTTTAGTATATAAACGTAAACGTGTGGGTCAGCTGAGATTTACATAATGTGTGCTGTATCGGGTGGCTTTAGTACTTAAAAGGAACATATTAAAAATGCTTGGCCGGAGGAGATGTTTGAGAATGACTGCCTGCCTACATAATCCAAATTGACGATGGCCATCCCCAATTTATTAAATAATATAAATAAAATAAAATTACACATATTTTCTAAAATTTTATTTTAAAAATATAATATATTTTCCTTTTTTCGAGACAATTTTTGTTATTAGTATATAAATAAATTCCAGTGTATAAAATAAAATTATTGCATATAAACCAAACATTTTGCTGTTTTTAAAATCTTAAATTTATTTATATACGTGTAAAAGAAGCACCGACCAGAACTAAATGAAAAAAAAATCTTTATACGATGTCGTATATTTGACTTGGAAATTTGTTTATTCATTAAATTTCAAGTAAGGGTCACGGGGATTAGAAAAATTATAGGAGAGTTTTGATGGGAAGTTGGTCAAAGCCAAGCGTGGACACATCATTGATGTTTGTGTTTATATGTTTGGATCTTTGTTTTAAAATTATCAATAATTTACAAAAACAAAAATAGTAACCAATTTCAACAAAAGTGGGTAGTCTATTATCTTACCTCTCCTTACCCCATTACATATGGGAATAAGGGTCAACTCAATTTTTTTTAATTTCAACTAAAGTGCATCAATAATTAATTACACTTAACGGGTTTGTTGGGCTTTGGACCCATTTGGTTCGATTTTATTTTTTATATTTTACATTTATTTTACGGTAATTACATATTTAATATCTCAATTATAACTTTTGTCTCATTTTGGTCAATCATCTATTTTATTTCAAGCATACCTAACGATACGTTTTAGTTTTCTTTTAATCAGCCACCATTAGAAAAATTAATGGTTTTGTTAATGTACCACCATAAAATAATGTCATGTTGTCATTGAATTTTTTTTAAAAAATATCACGTCAACAATTCTATTAGTTTTTAACGATAAGTGACCCAAATGAAATGAAAATGTACTATTAGATATAACTTTAAAAAAAATAATAATCAGGTAACTAAAACAAAATAAATGTGATAATTGATACTAATGTAGTTTACCCTTTACTTTATAACTGTAAAAGATATAATTGTTTTTTTCAGTAATGGGTTTTTTTATGATTCAATATGTGCTTTTTTATTTAGGAATCTAATGTATCTTACTGTTACATATAATATTTAGAGTAAACTACACATTTAATATATAAATTATTATTTTTACTTTATTTGATGCTAATTAAATTAGTACATACACATATAATATACCTAAACTATTAGTACCTTAACTAATATAATTAAATTTTAGGGTAAAGTACACAAATTGTCCTCTGACTATAGAGAGTTGTTTTGTTGAGTCATCTGATTATTAAAAGTTATAAAATGATCCCCTTACTGTAGAGAGTTGCTTTGTTATGTCCCTTGACTATTATATTTTTGAAGAAAATGTCCCTCGACTATTATATATTTGAAGAAAATGTCCCTCGACTATTACAAGTTACAAAATGGTCACCCGATTATTCATTATGTTTCAAACTCGTCATTTTTTGTCAAAAATTTGACAACAATCTAAGATGAATGTTAACATGATAACTGAGATATGATAGTCGTTAGAGATTATGAGATCATATTTTATCATATCTTAGTCATCAGGTTAACATCCATGTCAAATTACTGTTAATTTTCAACAAAAAATGACGAGTTTGGAACATAATGAATAATCGGGAGACCATTTTGTAACTTTTAATAGTTGAGGGACTCAACAAATCAACTCTCTATAGTCGGAGGATCATTTTGTAACTTTTAATAATCGTTGACTCAACAAAACAAGTCCCTATAGTCAGGATGCCATTTGTGTACTTTACCCTAAATTTTAATATTATAATTAATGTGATCAGAGACACTCACAAAATTTTAAGTTAACATACGAACTTCTAAAATTTTAGAAAGTGACAAACTTATAACATTTCATGAACAAAAAATAGATTTTTAATACAAATACATATAAAAAATTGAAAATATACGGTAATTTTGAATTGAGAAAAATAACTTCAGTGACCGAAAATGCCTTATAATATACGATTTTAACCAACTTTTTTTGGATTTGCGAAAATAACCAATAAATTCACAACGCGAACTCCAATTTTGCAACTCAGTTTCCAAATTCGCAACACAAAAGTCAAATTTGCAAAGCGCGTTTATTTTCGCAACGCGAATTTTATTTTCGAATTCGAAACACAATATTAATTTCGCAACACAAATGTAAACAATATAATCGCAAATCATAACCTAAAACCCTAAATCACAACTCAGTCCCATCTCCGTCTCTCACTCTCTACAGCGAAATCCATCCCCGTCTCCGACGAAATCCGTCCCCGTCTCCGACGAAATCCGTCTATCTCCATCTCTCAGAGCCACACTCACAACCATTCACTGTTACAAATGGAAAATCAACCACCGATGGTTAGTTTTTTTTAATTATTTTTATTTTGAAAATTTTGTATTATTATTAGATTTTTCATATTTAAATTGATGATAAATTTACTGGTAATTTCAATAATAGATTAACCATTTCACTTAGATTGCTTAGTAAATTCATTTGGTTGCTGTCAATACTGCTAAACTATTTAGTCTTTAACCCTGTGAAGTTAGTATTTGTCTTTGTTTTGTCTTTTGGTTGAAGTAATGCAATTCATTCAAGTTTCAATTTGCAGAAGAATAGTTTTTGAAACTTAAATTGCGATTTTCATTTTTTGTTGCGATTTTCTCGTTGCGATTTTCATTTTCGAGTTGCGATTTTAAGTTTCAGAAATTACTCTTCTTCTGCAAATTGAAACTTGAATGAATTATATTACTACAACCAAAAAAATAAAGATAAATAATAACTTCACAGTGTTGCGAATTTAAGTTTCAAGAATAAATTACTACTCTTTATGTTGTCCTTGAACATGCACTAAACATATATGTTGTCCTTTTAAATGTTTATATAAGTGCTTACTTCTGGAATGTTATCTGATGCATTTTGTGAACTATGATAGAATAATGACTTGGGTGAATACTGTGCTAGTTTGAAACATATTTGGCTTTGTTTTCACTGTTTAATATCATGTCTGTTTATAGTGTATAATTTGTAGTTTTTGGTATATCTAACTTGGTATGTTTATTGTTTTTGTTAGAAATTTTTTTTCGGCTTCATTGACTCTAAGGAATAAATTAAGCCTAGCCACTATAATTGTGTCGACACATACACATGTACAAAGAAAATTGTTTGAGGATACTTGCTTCGGGCCATGGCTAAAAGTACAACATCCAGGTGGAGATGCTATGTTGACCCATTTGTTTCTTCTGACTATGACTAATGATCTACCCGAGAGGATACAACGTGGTGATGAAGAGATATGGTTTCATTTTCCACCGGCGTATACTTGTTTTGGGCGGGAGGAGTTTTGCTTAATCACTGGTCTACGCTTCGGACACAATGAAGTAGGTCAGTACACTAGTCATATTGCCCGCCTATCATGGTTATCTCGGGTTTTTCCTAAGCTGGCAAAGGCGAAGCCCAGTTTACACGTCGACGACTTGAAAAGATTACTTATTAAAGATGGTTTTACTCGGATGGATGACCTCGATGTTGTCCGAGTATGCCTTTTATTACTTGGTAGAGGACCTAAATACATGGAACGTGTTTCCGTGGGGTTCACATATATGGAAAACTACCTGAAAAAAGTTGTCGTCTGCCTTTGAGGACCGAAAAAGTTTGTGTGGCCATGGTTCCAAATACACTTTGGCATGCTTTATTTGGGCCTTTAAGGTAAGAATTTCTATATAATGTTTCCAAAATTATA